GAGAGTAAGACAGACAGACTCGTCTGACCCCAGGCAGCAGAGAGTAAGACAGACAAGCTCGTCCGACCCCAGGCAGCGGAGAGTAAGACAGTACAATGCAAGAGTAAGACCTTGTTTGTAAACCGTGTACATTTTTGGTCTCCACAACACCAAAATCTATACTGCTGCTCTGGAATCAGTCGAGAGAAGAGAGCCCAGACACATTTCCCAAGTCAAAGGACTGCTCTTCACCGACAGGAAAAAAGACTGAATATTTCAAAAAAAAAATTTTAAACAAAGAAGAATATGTGGGAAATAGATTCAAGTATTCAAAATCCTCAAAGACAATGACAATGCCAACCTCAGCGCCAAGTTACTGAAGCTGACAACCCTGGCTCCTCTCAGAAAACGTCTGGCTGAGAACCTGAGATCAATTAGCTGGCGAAACAAATGAGCTGGATGAGCCAAATGGCCTCCTTCCATTTGAAAACACTATCATGTTCTTAATAAAGGGCAGTTCAAAAGTAACACAAACATTAAACCGTTAATGCAAATGATTTCTCTCCCACAGTGATACAAACGTCAACAATAAAAATACTGCAAATACACTGTATTTTTACATGAACACTGTAAATGGGACAATCACACAGGAATCATCTTGCACAAAGCAAATCAGTGATCACTGAAATGGAACGCATCTACAGTGAAACCTGTTAATTACTGTATCTGCAATGAAATTAATCAGAGACGTGGACAAGTAACCAATTAGATATGGTCTTGGTTCGTTAAAATACTGTGCTTTGTATATACTGTACTTTAATATATGTAATATTAAATGTTATTCATAGTTTTTTATTTCTTTTGTTAAACTATGTTCCTGCAAGGAAAGTACAAGCTTGTTTGGACTCCTGAGACAGGATGCAGAGAGAGGTTCCACCTCAGTTTGCAGACTGAAACTGACAAAGCGCAACGCAGACAGAGCATAACGGTGGATCATGCAGATGTTGGAAACGAAAAGGCAAAGCCCTCGCGTCTAAACATTTATCTGACCTTCAGAGCCTTTTCCACATTAATTACCGAGAATTACCGGAAAGCCCTGACAACAGGAGCCCCAGTCACGCCCATCCACCTTTGGGGACACTCTGCAATAATTAGCTTGGTCTTGATGTATATTACTGCAGGGAACCCAACCCTGGTGATGCACTGCGCAGCCCAGCACCGTCAGAAGCAGCAGTCTGAGCCGATCTGTATGGGAGCTGGCAGTCCTCCAGCACGGCCTCTCCCAGACTGAGCCTCACTGCAATGCAAAGAAAGCCATGGGCTGCTCTGGAAGAGGGACAGTGGGACTGAAAACTTTATTAAAATCAAAGCCACAGCTCCTGCGCTCCTGAGCTCCTGAGCACTTCCAGGTATTATTCGTCCTGAGCAAACAGCCAGTTTTAGAGCTCCAGCAGGCCAGACGTAGTGGGCTGGGTTATTACATGTGATGCATCAACAGAGAGAGATCTGCTCAGGCCCCCAAAGAAAGACCTAATGGTACTTAAAAAAAACGAGAGAAAATGTTCCACAATATAAATTCACAATGCTGTTTGTCGCTGTGATCCTAATTGTTTTTGAAGTTCTAAGCAAGGGTGAAAAAGTAGATATAAGTATTTTACCAAACAATAAAAAAACAAATTAATGTAATTTCAGCTGATCAGGAAAACCATAAGTATTTAAAAGTATTCACCTCCCTACCAGTAATTAAAGATTTTGAAGAATTACAATGTGTATTTTTTTTAAATAAGTGTTATTATTCAAATTACTACGATAAAAAAGGATTGATACTGAAAGATATGTGAAGGATGTTGAATGTCAGCAAATCCTGCAAAGAAGTTATAAAAATTAGTAATTGCATAAGTAAATCAGCACTTGATAGAAGCTCCTTTGGCAGCAATAAGTGCAGTCAGTTCATTTGGATGAGTCTCAACCAGCTAAGCATAGTGGAATGATGCGATTGCCATCCATTCTTCCTGGTAGAATCGAACATGTTCTGAAGAATCCAACAGTAAATGTATGCTGAGACTATTAACTGAGCAAATTTCAGCCAGGACTATGGTCCACTCACTGACATTCATACTCTTGTTAAACTACAGTGCTCATGTATGACTTTAACATTCACATCATGGTCTTGCTGAAATGTAATTATTCCACCTAATGTTAGATGGGAAATTAAGCCATTTTGTCTCTAGGATTCACCTGTACTTTGAACCTTCCATTTCCCCCTCATTCCTGACACACTTCCTAGTCCCTGCTGATGAGAAACTGCCACCAGCACCCTGACAGCGGGGATGGAGGTGCCAGATGTAACACTTTATAATTCCAGAAAAAAAAGTTACAGTATTTTTGTCTGACTGAACTTTTGAAAACTTCTACCTGTTGTCTAAAGAATAAAGGACCAAGTAAAGGTTTATTACATGCTAAAAAGAGAAGAAAATAAACACAACTTTTCGGCTGTGAAGCCTTCTTCGGGTGTGGAAGAAGAAGATAACGAAAACGTTGTGTTTCCTTTCTTCTCTTTTCAGCATGGAATAAACCTTTACTTGTTCTTTTGCAGCCCACACATGCTGACGCAGCTCCCCACCTGAACTACGTCTGAAGAGTTATGTCTGAAATATACCTTGCACAAGATGTATGAGTCTTTTTCAGTAAAGGCTTTCACGGTTCCAAAATCAAACAGCAACAAAAAGTCAAAACTTTGCAGGGGGGTGAATACTTTTGCAAGACGCTGTGCTCTGTGGTGACAGGAGACCAAGTAAAGGGGGAAATGACTTACGCTGTCCCCACTGTCCGCTGTTAGGGTTTAAATAATTTGGGTACAGTCCTTGTGGTTTGTCCAAACGATTCAAAACCTTGCGAATATTCATTACCTGTGACATTGAGAACAACAACAAAAAAATTATAAACACACGAAGGCCCTGTTATTTAAAAGAATAAAGCATTTTTTGAGTTCCTTCAAAATTACTTATTGTGCCTTATTAAATGACTGAATACACCAATCATCTAATTAATGTAAATCTGCAGGTATTAATAGACTTTCATTTTTTATTAATAGTCTAAATAACACTTTATAAAATACAGATTTCCCTTGTTTGGTAAAGATACAAGTTTGTGAATGAATAGGAATATTAATTTAAGCTGCCTGTTGCAAATAAAAATACCGTGTGCTTACTTCAATCTGTTCAATTCATCATAAGTAAAGTGAGTGCCAGTTTAAAATGTATATTAATGTATGTGCTTTACATTGTACCTTTTCTGCAAAAACAGGGTTCCCAGAAAGTTTGCTGAGGTGCATGAACTCCAGATGAAGAGTACCATATTCTGCCAATATACTGCTGCCTCCAGACGCCCATGGCCAGTTTCTCCCAATTCCACTGAAAAATACAACACAGAATCAAGATAAAACAAACCTGCATGCAGCTCACCCATCTTCTTCCCATGATGCTTTGCAGAGGTTCAAGGACCCTTGGAGGTGCTCTTAAATGTCACTGACCAATCACCTTCCACCAACGAGCCGTTCCCCGTTTTCACAACTCATTAGCCGAGCTGGATGTCATTCTTAACACCACACATCATGCTCAAGGTTGACAATGCAAAAGAAGGTGAAAATTATCGTCATTTTGCTTTAATTTTAAATTTTTATTTTCCTTCATTGTGCAACAGATTCAAATGTTTTCACACATCAAGAAACATTAACTGTACATGTTGGTCTAAAGATGCCAATTTGTGACAATATGCAGTTTAACATGTTGTTATGACTTTTTGAAGCGTGCCTCTAAATTGCCTTGTACTGTACCACACTTCTTTACCCGTTGATGGAAAACCTTTTTCAGAAATTAAGTAAGATACAGTGACTTCATACAGTTGGCACTTGATACTGTAAGATACAGTTTTTCCTAAAAAAACAGGTTCAGATCTTCTTTTGGTTTCTAGGCTCTTATTGTTATATAAAACATCTCATTGTTATTTAAAACATGCAACAAAGTGGATACTTCTGTCTTTAAATGCATGATTGCCCAACTATATTTTAAATTTCAAATAACATTGACAACACTCTCCCTTCTACTTTATCTACTTTATTCAGAAGAACAATTTTGTCTTAATACCATGTTGTCACACAAGTTGTTTCAAAAGCATGGCAAGACCTTAAACTGAAATTTGATTCCAATCATTAAAGCACTTCTAGCAAGAAGAGAAAACAGTCAACGTTTCATAAAAGCACAATTCCTTTAGGTAAAACCAATGCAGGGAAAATTTAAATGTAATCACATGATAATCCGCCACCCTCTTAAAATGCCTGCCAAATTTCAATTACCAGTTACTGAAAGTTCAAGAAATCTCCTTCTGAGTCACCCAGATTACACTTTTATGCCAATACCAATTATTAAGACAAATAGCTGACTGCAAGACTGGTAATAGTGCATAATCACAGCCTCCAAAAATAATCACTGTTGTCACTTAGATTATTAAACCTTTTGTCTACAAGACAAAGTATGTAAGACATTTTTCATTAACACCATACAAAGCAGTTAGATTGCTAAAGGAGTGGCCATGCTAACAGTTGAAGAGCTTAAAAAAGCAAAATAATCACCCTGCAGCCAAGGGGAAGATCAGCTGTATTAGATAAGGAATCATAATACACTTATATTCCCTACTGAAGTCAAATCCTTAAGCACATCTAATGGCTGATGTGTTAAAAATCCTGGGGGAAACCTGGGAGACAGAAAAGTAGGTTGTTTAAAAAAATGCGTAAGAGTGCCAGTTCCATATTACTGCATCTCAAGTAAATCATAATGACAAAAGCCCTGTAAAGATGGTCTATACAGTGTACACGGACCAATGAAAACCTATAATTCCAAATAATCTTGCTACTAAATTTGAGTGGATTTTCGTTCCCGACTTTATTTATGTCTGTATAAATAATTACCATTACTTTCATTTAAAATTTCAGATATTGTATACACTGACGGTAAGCAATGTGTTGACATGAACTGAAATGAATAGTAGTATACGGCACTCAGACCTAGGAACAGCTGGCAGTGATGAGTGCAGAGCACGTGTCACATTTAATCTGTGGCAACTTTCCTACTGTGAAAACAAAACATGCTGTTGATAAACACTAACGCTTTTGCAAGATGTCTTAACATTTGGTTGTAAATCCAGTAAGAAACCACAAAACAAATTGTAAGTTGTCTAATACCTGATAACCTTTAGTCTCCAACATTAATTACACCCAGGTTTACTCATAAAGGATATGCTACCTTCACTTCCAAAAATCTGATTCCTGCACACTGCTAGCCCATCCTGGGACAGGATGAGAAAACAGGAGGCTGCACAAACCTGTATCCATATCCGTAGAGATCAATAACAAAAGCCTCTTAATATAAGCAATCAAAACTCACAAAAATTAATGGCACTTAAAGTCTTATGCTTTAAAGTAGGACAAGCTACAGTATCTGACAGTGTCTTGGAAACATCAGTAGTTTCAGACCATTGTGCTTTCAACTGGAAATCAGAGCACAACAAAGTACATGAAATCATCAACAAGAATTCATTCAAAGCCCTGGGATATCTGTTCACTACAAACAAGATCTTCTGTTGATAAAGCAAACATCCAGAAGGTAAATGCCTTCATAAAAATCTTCAATATCTTGGAAACTAAAGGCAGTGGAAAAGAGGACATTTCTAGAAAATTTCCACCTGGCAAACTTTACAAAATGTTTTCCAATTATGTTTTTTTTTCACAAATTAGACTTTGCTGAATTAAGGGAAATGTTAACTTTTCATGCAAATCTAGAAATAACAGGAATCTTCAAAAAAACATTACATTGCTGCAAGCTCAATCCCCCAATCTCTTCTGAATTCATGACTTGGAACAAAAAATAGCTTGTTAAAATCTGCACAGTGAGGAGCAAGAGAAGAGTAATAGAAAAATAGTTCAATCACTCATCCTCATTGTGGATGCAAGTGTTTATATAAATGGTAATGAGTCAAATCTGCTCTATTTGTAGAGATGGTGTCAAAAATAATTTGGTTTTCATTATAAAACTGATTACATCTTGTAATATAAATTTTATGAACCACAAAATATTTATTCTGAGGCAGTATAAAGAAATCTTCATGCATCTACAGTGTTACAAATACCCGCATGTATTCTTGTTTTTGGACCTTTAATCTTTTTAAGGTTTATTTTAATTTTATGTGATCAAACAAAATAGAAGAGAAAGCATAGATGAGGAATAAATCAAACTGCAAAAAGCCCACGGTAACTAACATTATATTTAATAACTAGGCATCGTGAAGATTCAAGTGATTGGGAATGTACTGTCCCGAAGATGAAAGGGTAGGAGCTGTCTCTTCAGACTTCATCTTCGTCTGTTTACTAAATAAAATTAATGTCCGTGCTTTTGCCATGCTGTTTCATGATTAGCCATCATTTACTTTTACTGATATGATGCGAGAAAGCGGGCAGTGGTTAGCATTGCTGCCTCGCAGTGCCAGGGCTCCGAGTTCACCTCCAGACCTGGGGTGCTGTCTGTGTGGAGTCTGTGTGTTCTCCCCGCGTTTGCAGGCGCGCCTGTTTCCTCCCAAAGCCCAGCGACACACTGGTGGGCTAATTGACTCCCGGTGTGTGTGTGTGCCCTGCAATGGACTGGTGTCCCATACAGGAGTATCCTGCCTTATAGGCCCCTGCGCTGGACAAAGAGGTAAGAAAATGGACGGCTGGATATTAGAGAGCACCTAATATTCCTTATACTGTAGCACTATAAACTGTGGAATATATACAGCATTCAGAAACGTGCAGTTAAAGTGCACTTTAATAAAATGCAGTAGTATGTATAACACTAGAGACACAAATGCAGCGCAAAGCCAGATAACTGGATTAAAATAACGCACGGCAGAGTTGTTACTGTCCTCCAGGTTTGGTCAATTTAATACGAACACTCTGTCCCCAAGACAGAAATGGAGGACAGGTGACTAGCTCTCAGTTCACATCTGCAACCAAACCACCAGCAATATTCAGGATTCCTCACTGCAGATCCCCCAGATGATCTCACTCTTAATTTAACACCTCCATTAATTTACTTAACTTTACATTAGCTACAGTAGCACAACAAGTTACTCCACAGAATATATACTGCTGTGTACAGTGCAGTGTAGCTCTACAATCACCACAATCAAAGGCATTGCAAGATTCAATTTTTGAGGCACATTTTCTGTCCTTCTCTCTCCACAAGGACATAGCCTGAAATACACGCGTCCTAAGCTTTACTGTACAGCGCTAACATAACATTATTAAAAGGGCTAAAAACTGCCTCAGACCAAAAAAAAGCCAAGATCATTTTGGCATTTTGAAATTTTCCAAAGATTTTGCCTTGAAAAAACACTGCCACTCTGTTATTATCTGTTGTGCAGAGTGCATAAAATAAAACATGACATTTCCTAGATAGGCCCTGGCATTAAATCTAGCTATAATGTAGTAACTTGAGAAAAGTGTCAATGTGCTTATATTCAAAGCCTATGGGTACAGAACCTTGAATTCCCTATAAATTTTTCCAATTTGAAACCCATATATCTTCCTCGGCTTGCTCCTTCTGCGCTTTCAGCACTGGCAGATATACACTCACCATTCAGGACATAATTAAAATCTCTAAATCAAGCCACAATTCCATGCCATGTGAGCAAATGAATCCAAAGGAATAGCCCTGACCGAAGAAATAATTCAACGTAAAAGCTATTTTCCAACACAAGCACACAAGTTTGAGCACAAGGTGACATGAGCTAAGAAGAAGTTACAGAATCCTAAATATAGTTCTTCCTCACACAAGCTCTGTATTTAACCAATAGGAAATCACTTTTAAAAGCTAACACATACTATCGGATGTTCTTTATTCTATCCCTTTTTTACTGACGTTCTTCAACACTAAATTTGACTAAGCCTATTTGATGAACACTTCTAAAAGCTGCAGATTTTCCACTGCCTGTTAATTTTATTAACTGTTTTCTACCAGACATGTAAATAAATGTACAGTAGGCCTGGTATCAATCACACATATAATGAGTGTGGATATTGAACAATATAATAAGGTAATGCCAAGAAAAGCTATCACATAAAGTACAACAAAGTTATGGGATAAATATTCCATACAGTATCTACAAAATAATACAGGCTATTCATTTATTTGTATTTTCTTTATAAGAATACCATGTGAGAACATTTGAGATAAAACACAAAATCCATCTTAAAATGCTTTGGTGGCAGAGACATCCCAGGAGTCAGCCAGTTCGGTACACAGAGACCCTGCTGGAGAAGCACACGATGCTACAGTACCAAAAGCAGTCACATACAGCACAGTGACACTTGTAATGAGCT